TTACCATTGGGCGCAAAAACAACTTGAAACTGAGGGCTGAAAAGTTGAAATTAGGCCTAAGCACATTCCTAAAGCACTTTCTTTGTATACGTAGGGTTAATACTAAGATGGTATATTCGAAAGTGACACCATTTTCAGACTACAAGCATATTAGCGCTTTCCAAGAGAAAAACCAGTGCAAGTAGCTCAGTTCTGAAGCAAAAATATTTTTCGTTGTCACTTTGTTGTTGTTGTCGTTGACACAAGATGTTTATGAATATGGCAACAACCGACTGAAAAATAGAATCATCTGATACATTCATTGTTGTATGCAGTAAAAGTGACACCATTTTCCGTGGATGATATATAAAAGAAAAACCCTCTCAGTGAAAAAAAATGTATAAATTAAAGTACGGGTTTGGAACTTAGAGCAAAGCATCCTAAAAGAAAAATATTACGGAGTACCACGTGAAAGCTACGCTTCGACACTAAAAAGCAGCTCAAAAGGTTATGTGGTTTAAACTGATTTAAGGCGAAGATAAATTAACGCCTCGTGCGAACTCGAACAATTATCCGATCGAGATCCCTAACCAGCTTACCACTAAAGTGCGTTTGCACTTTGGTGTAGTCTTTGGTGGCATTTCATTACTTATTTCGTCGGAGAAATAAAGGCCCGGGCTCAGTTCTTACAAAAACAACGATAACAACAATAACCGCACAAGCAAAAGAAGAGGAGGCTAAAACCACCAGACAGCGACACGCCAAGGGTGACTGAGAATGAGCCTGTGTCTGTTTCTTCATCTTCATCTGTAAAGGAGAAGAAATATGATAAGCAATGAATTCACCAAGATCAACAAGGATTTGAATGATCAGTGACCCAATTCTGCGCTTCAAGCAATAAGGTAAGATTAAAAAAAACTTTGTAGAATTTTCTTTGAAATGTTGACATAGGTGAGCAAGACTGAAAACTTGCAGGTGTTGAATAAATTACACAGAATTCGCTAACACATATCGCAAACACGTTTCATTGTACCCAACTCTCTCATTTTTTAATGCATGAAGTAAGTTACAGGTGTGTTTTGACAACCGTCACACCTACCTTATTAAGACCCACTTAGTAAAAAAGTTAAATTCAGTTCTACATTTTTTTTTCTTCTTGGCTTTCACTACCTTATCTTTATCATCATAAATGCATGGATTACTAGGCAGCCCCTGTGACAGTTTCTATCATTCTAGGCCTTTATAGGAAACATGCTTCTTTTAATTTCAACATAATTATGCCTTTTTTTGTCCATAATTACTTTTCTCGCAGCAATAACCAGTATATCCCTCCTTGCAACTACACGCTCCACCCATTAAGTTTCCTCCATTAAAGCAAGTCTTGCGAGGGCAGGATCGTTCCATCTTTAAGTCTGACCCTCCAGAACATGAACCTCCGCACCTCTCGTAAATTGTCCGCTGACGAGTTCTAGTCTGTAATCCTCCTACACCACAATCTGTCGTACAATGGCTCCACTCTGACCAGGAACTAAGTTGACAGTCAACTGCTGGCGAAGGGCCATTACATATTTCCTCTACAAATGACATTAAAAAAAGCTGCGATTAGAAGAAAACATGGTGTGAAAACAAGGGTGCTCTACAGTACTTTTTGTAAAAAAAAAAAAAAGGCTTTACCAAAGTTGTGCTAAATTATTTTAGTTATTACACAAGAAGTAAATGGTTTGAATCCGGGGTTAGCATGCCATCGTGTAGTCCTATGGTCCGGGCGAGGGTGCTTCTAAGAAGGACTGTTGTCGGTGGTAATGACTGACGTTTCAACAACCTCTGAGCGGATGTCATCATCAAATCAAATTGTGTATGTATGATAGTATCTCCCTAACCAAATAGGCGAAAGGAGTGTTGATAAACGAGTGACAAGGCGACATCAAAACCCGCTTGGAAGGCCTCGTGCATGCCGGTTTTTCAAATAATTTCCGTAAACTACAAGAGGCAGAGATATAAGCAAAGATGTTATCCATTGAAAGGAGCATGATCGTTATTATATATGTAATAAAATCCTATTCGCTGCACGACGCCACGAGAAAGGAAACGAGTAACATTTCCGCTCAAGACAAGGTTGGAAACTTTTTTACGATAATTAAATGTCATAGCCTGCAGAACAGGCCTACTATTTTTTTCATTTTCCAGGTGAACGGAGGCAAACGCGAGGCGTGAGCGAAGGGAGGAGCGTTTTTTTTCGGGTTGCTCCCTTCTCACGTGTCTCGCCTCCCGTTTTCGCTTCGTGCTTGCCTCCGTTCGCCTGAAAAAGGTCCGTCATTAAGCTATGCAGTAGTCGTCTTGCGGATAGGATGACAAACGTGGTCGCGTGTATCGACGGTCAGTCAGCAGGGAACGTTACGCAGCTATTATTGAGAGGAATTATTTGGAAATACAGCCAAATATAACTCTTCTGCTTCCTTTGAGTGAAAGAGATAAGATTGGTAACCGAAATACCACAAATAGAAAACCAAATTTTTTTTAGCCCTTTTCCGAGTTATGATGTCCTAAGGTCGTGGTTTACTTCACAGTCTGACTATAGACTTCACTATTTCACATTAATCGAAATATCTTTAACGATGAGTTACAAGACTATTCGGTGAAATAAATTAAGCGAAAACGAGAAGTCTCCTCAGAAATGCCAAAGACAGTTTGCTATAGACACTTCTTGGAAGCACGTTTTGGAAAACCGCGCGCGTTGGCGCATTTTTTCAAGGCTGGTATCGCAGTCTCGCACTCGTACTAAAGGACCGAAAACGGCGGCGTCTTTGTCAAAGAGCACAGTTAATAAAAATCACAACGAGCCATACCAGCAGCACCTCTATATTGAAAATGTAGGCAAAACTCTAATTCATCATCAAGGAATTGCCACGGATTTTTTAATGTGACCCTCAAAATTTTATCAGCGTTGAAATAAGCATCTTAATTTGCACGCAATATGTCTCCTTCGAATCGAATACTCTCTGCTCACCAGTAATGTTCCGACAGCGCGCAATGGTGCAACGGGATGGAAAACATTGCCATGCATCGAGTGAAATGAGTAGTGGTTACAAAAAGAGTGTTTTGGCGCTTTTTTAATCATAAACGGGCTCTGTTTATTTTGCTTCTACTGCTGAAGCGAGGTCAAACCAAAAAAGATATTATTAGTAATGAGAAAGAAAAACCTTCAGCAGTGTCTGGGTCGTATCAATTAAGTTTATCTCGTTTGTATGATATGCAGCACGTCCAACAAAGCCTACATTTTCTTAGGATTTTTACAAACTGGGTCTTATTATTCGCAATTTCAAATGTTTTCCATTAACGTAAACAGAAAAATAAACTCATTTTTGTGTTATTTCCAACCCGTTGAGAAATCGATTTGTTAATAAAGCCTTATTGGGTACTTTTCCTCTGGAATGCATGGTTTATTCGTTTGTTTTATCACGTGGAACCTCTAGCCAGTTATGCACACATGAAGCATCCTTTCCAAGAAAGACACACTTTCCAGTTAAAATAACTTATAGTTTCTCAGAAATGGAAAAGTTAATGAAGCACACTTTCTGTCAGCAAATCTTATCATTTACTACAATGACATTCGTAATGAAAACAAGTAATGAAAACAAACGTCGAAATTTTGTAACGCAAGTACAAGATTCATTTTAACAGATACCGTCACTCTCTTTTGAAAGCTCGGTTCTTCATTCAAAAGTATGAGAGACTTTTTAATCTCACAACATTCGGAGATGGTGAAGTCTACATGAAAGTCACCAATCTTTACCCAAGTGCTACTCGTGTGTGCATAAGAATCGAACTGATCATCACGGTGGTACATATCTGTGGGAGTGCACTCAAACGTTTCGATGGAGAGAAAGCTCAGAAACCTTGATATTAAAGTGCAGATTCAAGCAAAGATGGCCGAGTTGTTCCCGATTGACCTGTCTTAAACATTGTTCTGTTTTGACCGTCTCTCCATTTTGGGTCCAAAATATTTTTCGAAATACGCATATCAAAGTAAAAAAATTGGTCCTTAAATTTTCTGTTCAAAATAAGCTTCCAAAATTAAGATGTGCTTGTGTGTGTGTTTGTAGAGGAGCTTTTCTTTCTCTTTAGCAAGTTACCTTGGCAACAATTTCCGGCAAACCCATCTCGACAGCGACACGCTCCATTTTGTACACTTCCCCCATTGAAACAACTGGTCTGTAAGCAGGATCTTGTTCTTGTGAGAGAAGACGAACATGTACCGCCACACTTCTCGGTAATAACTCGGTTACGAGAGCTAGACTGTGTTCCTGATGCGCCACAAGGAGTTGTGCAAGAGCTCCAACGTGTCCATTGGCTCAGTTCACAGTCAACTGGATTTCCCCCATAGCACTGACGAGTTTCGAAAAGGTTATCAGGGCATTCTCTTCCACCACAGGTAGGCCTTGTTACTATCATTCTTGATCGACTTTGAGCTCCCAACTGCCCACATTGGTCTGAAGTGCACCGACTCCAGAATGTCCAAAACGTGACATCACAGTCTCGCGCTGGACATTGACAAATAGACGAGACAGAGAACCACACTAGTAGAATTACCACAAAGGAAACCTTTGCCGAAATCATCTTTGGTATACTCTGTAGGACAACCATTCACAGTTGTAAACACAACTAAGTGTCAAACAAGGAAGTAAACTTCAACGAGCCCAGCACTAAGTCAACAGGACTCCGGACTTTGCCCACGTGATGTTCACAAGGAAGCAGTTGTTTGACGAAAATAAAATGCAAAATGATAAGCTCTTTATCACGCAGCGCCACCTTGGATTGCGTGAGACATCAAATCGAGGCTGGACGGGCACAAAGTATAGGGTTGTGTTACATTAAAGTGTTTTGAGTGAAGATTTCAAGCAAGCATGGCCCACGATCATTGCTGCGTTCATTTCTGTAGTAACGACAAACAAAATAAAAGTGGTGATAATTGATCTCTCTTCAACTTTCCTTTGAATGATTTATTGAGATCGAAAAGGATTGCCGCTACAAGGCGAGATGAAGACACGTAGATAAGACGAGAACATGTCGCCAAGCTTAAGACGAGGAAAATTGTGAGTTGTATGATCAATTGCTCCTGATCAGAATAACTATATGTGTAAAACCAGTTGAATAGTCAGTGTTCGTCTTATTCCTAATGATTTTATGGACCAACTATGTTCTATTTTCATTTGCCAAACTTATTTTTGTGGCACATTGGTGTAAGGTTGAATTTTTCCCCAAAAACCACTCTTTTCTGCCCTTTTTTTACCTAAAAATATGACAGAGGCACTCCTGAAAATACTGTCAGTATAGAAACTATGTTTAAGTCAGATTGCTTGCTAATTTATGGTAATCTTTACATTAGGTTGCTTGTACCTGACTATTTATGTACAGCCGACCCAGCTTCAGAGTAACAGTGTGTGTTGTAGGAACTACATTAACCCTTTACATCCTAAGATCACAATGTATATTCTCCATACTGTTCTCAAAACATTTCCTGAGGTGCTGATAAAGAGAAATTGTTTTGCAATCAAGAGCTCATTTAGTTAGTGATTATTTCCTTCATTCTCATGACATCATTATGTAATTCAGGGGAGATATTGTAAAGAGAAATTAGATGCTACTCACTCTTATGGGTGAACAGGTTCAGTACAATGCTTCCATCTTTTAGATGGGGATGAGGGAGGTAGTCTGGAAGCAATGTGAGTCTATTGAGTTGTAAATGGAAGTTTTTCTTTTATGTTGTTTCTTTCCATGTTTTAACTTTGAGAAGGCTGTTGGAGTTTGTTTCTTGGTTGTTTGTGATGGAACCTATTCTGCTGTTTTGGTTTTTTGTTTCTTGAGGAGCTTCAGCGTGAGTTTGTAATAACATTTCAAAGTCAAGATGTTCAATGAGCAAAGAGACCCTATTCATTCATAGAATTTGGTGAGCAATATTCATTAATCGATAAGAAGTTTGTGAGATGCCACCCACAACAAACAACATGTTGATTTGTTGGAATTATTAAGATAGATCATGCCAAAAGACACCAACAGAAGATTGCCAGGTAACTATATGACCTGAGGAGGACTAGCAGTTTAGTAATTGAAATGTTTCAATCCTCAATGAGGAGCTTCTTAAGTCTGCTATCTATATTGACTCTAACTAAGAGATGAAGGATGGAACATTTTTTTGTCAAGCTCTTAACCTTTTAACTTCCTGACATTATTAACATGTAACTTCTCCCCATAACATCCTCACACTACCCAGCAAACAGGTAATAAGAATACTCAAACTTACCAGGTAGAAGTTGTTACTGTATCTTGAACAAACAACAAATTCTCATAACTAATTTACAAGGAGATGTGTACCAGCTAGAGGGGAGAATTAACAATCAGATCTTAGGAGTTGAAGGGTTAAATATGTTGTGAACAGGAATGCTCAGGTCTCCTGAATTGGGTATTAGCTTTAGAAATGACTGTTAACCCTTTCCAGGATCTCAATAATGATTCTCCTTACTGCACTGTACTTGCCATACAATTCATGTGATGTTACAGTTGTTCTGAGAATTTGGTATTGGATCAACTAATAATCCCCTAATTGATATTTTTTCTTTATTTTCATCACTTGTCTGCTTGATATTGTATAAATATTGTAAGGAGAAATTTTTTCTAAGACACTCATGGAAATTTAAGGCTTAAATAAATAATCAACATTATTTTTCAGCATCAAACAGTTTAAATTATAACTTTATAACAGTGTAAAGAGATTTACCCTATCCATAACATTATTAGTAAGGATAACAAAATTGATAGCAAATATATATTCTTTAATTTTCATGGCATAGAGTCTTTCATTCAGAAAACCACGCAAAGATACAACAACACAAGAACTCTGACATGGCAGCTTAATTTGAGTGAAATGAGTGAAGATTTACACAACAACCCTCCATTCCAGATATCACACTCAGAAATTGGACCAGAAAATAACACAGATGTCAAGACTTAACAAGACAGGAGGTAAATAGACAGTACGATTTTACTGTAGAACAACTAAAACTCGGTGTACCTTTTTTTGAACGAATCAGAAAGAAATGCCCTCTCCCCACACCCCCACCTCATTTTTGAAATAGCTTGCCTGCATTAAGAAAAAAAAGGAAAAGTTTCTGACCTGACGGGTACCTCTTTGTTGTTAACAAGCACATGTGAATTGTTCAAAGACAACTAAACTACATAAGTGTATACTGCAGAGGTTTTATTAGCAGCCAAGTAGTGGGTAGATTTAACTGCTTGTTATTGTGCTGGCTACCCCTTAGCAGTCTTTACAGAAACATCATTGTTCTCCCAAAATGCATTTATTCTCTTTAAATTGGTTGACTCCCGAGCACGACAAAGCTACAAGAATTTTTCAATAGTTTATAATCCAGATGAGAAGCATCGAACCAATTGTATCAAGTTTTATGGAAACCTCTGCTAACTGCTCTACTGGCTAGATGAGTCTGTATTGTATAAACTGGCTTCAAAAGAAATAGATTCTAACTAGGAAGGAGAACATTGTTGTCACTGCAAGGTCGACACGCTTGAAGTATTTTACTATCACCATTTGCAATCGCAGTTGTCAATAAATTATTCTGTCCTGTGTTGCCCATTATGAACAGATTGAGGAGGAGGTGGGTACATAGACAAAGATATCGGAATTCAACCTTTCTTCGATCCCTGAAATCTGAAAGTGCACAAAAGACAACCAAGATAGAACGAGATATGAAAATAAGTTTCAATTAGATAATCATGTACAGTATTACAGAAACGGAACTTTCCTACTTTTGTAGTTTTTCGACGCATTTTAGATCGTTTCAACGATACTTCTCACTCGTCAATGATACATTTCACTCGTGAGCTATTGAGTCAAACGCTCGAAGAAATTGTTAAGCGATGGAGCAATGATCTGGAGAGGAATGCAGTTTCTATTTTCAAGAACCTTCGAGTGCTATCAAAAATTACGCATGAAGGTAGCGTTTTATTTCAAATAAAGCACTACTCAGTGCAGTCAGCTAATGATTTTGTTGTTTGCATCAGGAACAGAGGCTAGTCGTTGACATGACTGTCAATTTCTTCCGTTAAATGTTTGAAAAATGTTGTCACGGTTATTTAAATGAATTTGTCCTACGATGCCCAACTCTTGTTATATTGAAAAAAAAAAATTTTTATATACTCAAGCTTCCACTTCCCCTCCCCCCTCCCCCCACATTTACCACACTACAGTATGGCTCAGAGAACATGGTCATAAACCACAGAAACAACGAGAAATGAGTTGTCTCTTGTCTTCCAAAGAAGTGTGATTACTTCATGACGTTTCTATGGCTTTAAAGGGGATTAAAAGATTTCGCATTCAAGGAATAGCAGACAGACTAAGGCAAAAATTTTAATCGTTTATTCGATAAATATCATCAATGATGCAATTATTGCGGAAATTCCAACATACCCAATGGCTAAGAGAATGCAAGCTAATTCCCAGTCGGTCATAAAGTTGAAATTGGGTTTAAAAGTTGAAACATAGTGTAGTATTCGAATTATTTCTAAGGCACTTTGGGATAGGCTCTCGAGAGCCTTCTGACTTCTACGTTTTTTTCGGTTATAATCTTTGCCAAATATACTCGTGCTGATTGAATACAAATTGCTCTCGAAATCATTTTATAACAGTATAAATGAGAAAAATTGAAGGACGAGCTCAAAAATACTCTTCACTAGCCTTGTGTCGGCTTATTGAACACTGTGAATATACATGAAACTTCTTAAAGCTTAAGCAAACTCCCTTAAGCACTTTCAATGTTAGATAAATACTGGGATGGTCTGGTCTGACACATTTTCAGTTCAGAGGTATGTGAGCACCATTCCAGAGAAAAACCAGGGCAGATCAATCAGTTTTGAAGCAAAACACATCTTTCGTCTTTCCTTTGTCAGCATAAGTTGAATTTACTGAATCCAAAAGAGGATCACATTGATTCAATCGTGATGTATGCAGTTTTCATGGTTGCAAAATGACACAAAGAATATGGTTTGGAACTTAGGGCGGAAAATACCAGTACAAAAATGCTACAGAGTAGAATTGACACCTGGTTATATCAACAAAAAGCAGCCCAAAAGGTCATTTCAGTACAAAGATACTTAAACACCTCTTAAGGACTTGAGCCATCATTCGAGTGAGAATTCTAACCAGCTTTGCACGATATTGACGTTGCACTCGAGTTTTATCATCGATAACATTTCATTCAGAGCACACCGCGGTTAAACAACATATACGTGGAAAATGAGCAAACAATTAAAATTTAGGTTACGGTTTTCTCTTTCCAAGTTTTGATAATTTACATTTGTGCATCAGCGTCAATAGAGTTTTGGAGATTCAATATAGCTGTTAATTTCAAAGTCTTGCCGATTGCGCATCCCTACTGCGCATAATGCTTTGTGCATGGGTTGCGCGCTCCTTGACAAAATGGTGGCTGTTATTAAGGCCTGAACTCGCGCTCAGTTGATTTGCTATTTGCTCCTATTCTCAAGTAGCAATATTTCATTTTTGATTTGTTCACGAAAAGTATATTTTGAAGAGAAATAAAGCTATGGGTTGTATAACTCGTGATAAAAGACGTGAAACTCTGCGTTTATGGGGTGATAACTAAAGGCTCCATCCATTAGTAGTTGACCACGGCAGAGAGTAGAAAAATAAGCATGTTCCCATAGCTGATTATCTAGTTCGGGCGCAAATAAATTGATGGCTAAAATCCCCGTTCGAATCCATGTATAACATGTAACAGGCTATCGCTAACATCATTTTTCGCTCGCCCACTTTTCACTTTCCCTTTAAAATAAGTAGCTTGGCTAAAGCTTGTTCTTACACGAATTTTAGTTAAAGGAGCTCTACAAACATTTGACTTCTGTTTCGATTTATCTCGCTTGCTGCGTTTTAAGCTTAACACTGAGTATGTTGTGTAAAAAGGTAAAAAAGGCAACTTTGGGTAGATTCATATTGATCTTCGAGGCCTGGGTTCATTCCTTAAAATAACGCCAGCACACACAAAAGATGATGACGAACAAAACTACTACTCCCGGCACCGAAATCGCGACCTTGATTTTGATTGAGCCTGTGTTGGTATCTGTATCTGTATCTGAAAAGGAGAAGAAATATGATCAGCAGTCGAAAAATTTGATCTACATCAACAGAAAAGTCATTTGAATGATCGGTTAGCCACTTTTCAAGCAGTAAGAGAACATTTTTTAACAATTTTAGAATTTACTTTTAAAATGTCGAATTCAGAAAGGAACAATAAAAACTTGCAGTTTAGAAATAAATTTGCTAACTTATTTAACCGGCAACGCGTTTCGTTGTACCTAATAAATAGGAGAGCCCTTAAACCAGTGCTCTGAAGCTCAGTGATTGAGCATCGAAACTTAAAACTTAATATTTCTGTGTGGACTTTACCTTTCTTAGTGTTCTCAGTGTACTCACAGCAATCACCAGAGTAACCCACATTGCATTTACATGCTCCATGCATTAATCTGCCTCCATTAAAGCATCTGATCTGAGGACAGGCTCGTGTTATTTTTAAGTTTAATCCACCGGGGCATGTACCTCCACACTGCTCTGTAATCAGCCGGCGACGAGTGCTAGTCTGCCTACCCCCTACACCACACATTGTCGTACAAGGACCCCACTCCGACCAGGAACTAAGATGGCAGTCGACTGGCCCCAGTCCACCGCAACGCCAAGTTTCCCCTGCGGATGACATATATAATTTGTTTGAAAGGATAATATGCCAGTTTTCGAGTAATTTCCCTAAACTCCGGTAACAGCTAGAGAGGATAAGGAAATATGTTATTTTTTGAAACGAGCAGGATATGCGACCGTGTTGCCCTTCTCTTGGAATCATATTCGCCATACAACACGGCGGAAAAGGAAGGTTGGAAAGTTCCCTATGAGACACTAAGTGTCGTGGCAAGCTTAAGCAGTCAATACTCTATCCTGTTTTTGTGTTGCGGATAGGATTAGACGCGATTGCATGTATCGACGGTCAGTACTGCAGGCGTAGCTCACCATGGAGTCTCTGCGGCCCAGATTTTACTTAAACTAAACTACACTGTTCGAAAAGAAAAGGCGGGTTCTCTTTCTTCTCTACGATGTGGAGTAGAAAGTTAAGCTGGGATAGTATCATCTCCTCGCACTAGGTCTGCATAAACACATATCCTGTATTTAAGTGCCGCTCTCGCTTAGAGCGGTCCTCTCGACTTCCCGTCTAAAAAAAATTTTCTTTTATTTTTTGCCCATGAAAATGGTTTAGGACACATGTTTCAAAAATAGTTTAGTTGTTCTCCAATTCTCTTTTTTTGCTTCGCCACAAGTCAAAAATGATTTTTGGCCAGACCAGCCCTGTGGATAGCAATCGAAAGTTTAAATTTCAAAGATTTTGTCCAGCGCGCAGCGACTGCAACAGTGTAGCTCACGGAATGCTACAAGTTACAAGATGTATTCGGTTAGTTCACAGACAAAATATGGAAACTTCAGCTGAAATATTTTTCATACCAGCGTGATCAGAGGAGACCCTTCTCTTCGACCTTAAGGCCTAGTTCAAACGTCGATCTTTACATGTACCGAACCTAACGTTTCTATTAAGTACATGTAAAGATCGACGTTTGAATCAATTAGGATCGGCAGATTTGTATTCGGATCGACAGTGCCGTTCTATCCGACTCGGCTAGTCGGATAGAACGGTAAAAGATCGGCATTGATTCATACGTCGTACTTTACATGTACCGAACTTAATGCATACATTATACATACGTTAAAATAATTATGTTTTACCCACAATTCAAGAAAGTTCGCTTACGTGCCATGCGCGAAAGCCTTCGAACCATTCAAACAATATGGCGGGAAAGGAGGAAGGCTCCCACCAGCCAGAATTTCTTTTCAGTCGACAACACGAACGAACTGGACGAGGAACTGTGATGTTCCTTTGGGAAATAAGCAATAATAGAAGGCAAGCCAAATTCAAAACTCGTCTTCTCCTGGCAGCAAGGTTGTTTAATGCTAACTGCATCTTGAGTCGCCTTTTTCTACCCTCCTTAATCGCATTTGCAAGAAAAACAAGCTCTTCATTTCCACAAGTTGTGCTTCCCGCATTTTTTTCCGCCATTTTGGTAGGCATTAACCGCTGACTACAATGGAGTTATGTTCAGTTTTGCAATTAGGATCGACTAAATTAGGATCGACGTTTGAATCAAGTGCCGCTCTTAATTATTCGAGTCGACCCAAATTGCAATTAGGTTCGGTACATGTAAAGATCGACGTTTGAACTAGGCCTAAGTTGTAAATCAAAAATTCCCTACTTTGTACGAAACAATTCTCAAAATGCTGGCGTTAATCGGGCTGAAAAAGCATATCAGTGCATAGTGTATACACCAATGAGGTCACGAATTGTCTCAAACCCGCGGGTATATCTCTAGCTTCCATCCACCAACATCTTAAAAACAACGCAAATCCATGTGTTTGCTCAATCGCACTCGTGTCAAAGATTATTTGCATGATTCTGAAAATTGACCAAGATCTCCTTTTAACCGTTCAAACTTCGTTCGTTTATCTTCTACGTTGAGGATTTTAGGTTTTCATAGCAACTGAAAGGAGAATAGATGCCGAGTTGTCCTAAAACGTTGCGTAAACGTGATCGGTCGTAACGCTTGCGCGCTTGCGTGAGTTACAAATTAGACAAAGGTGATAGGAAGGCGCCTTATCGATAATTTACGTCGAAACATCAGGTCATGAACTACGCACAGTGTGGAGAAGATCAAAATTAAAGAATAAAATTTAGCACTTTGGTCATAACAGACATATCGCGTTTCTCAAAAGGACACAAAAACAAGTTAAAATGGGTTACAGTGTTTCCATTTACAAAACACTCTGAAACAATTCTTGCAGCTTCTCACGAGATTTTGTACACGGAACCCGATGAACTAGCCCTTCTTTTTTACATATTTGTTATCGTCATGAATGATGTTAAGCTCTTTGAACCACAACGGTTTTGAGCGACAAACTCGACATTTCCTTGCGACCATCAAAATCAATTGGACAAACCCAGCTTGACATATTGCGTGACGTGATTGTGCAAACTTTTCTCTTTGTCATACGACCTGTTTCGCGGGTTCTACAAGTTGGAATCAAAATTAGTTAATGTAACGAATTAGAATCGAAAGTTATTAAAATGGACTGAAGAATTTTACATCTTAATGAGAATTTGATCTTTTAAAATGTTTACTTGATTCATGGAAAGCAATAAAACAGTTATTGGTATGTTCTAAACATCAGAACACCTGAGAGGACACTGAAAAAGTAGAAAAAGTATTTTTTAGCATGATGCTTAAAAGGAAAGTTTAGTAGGGGGGTCCAAATGCGAAGGGAGGTCCGTGTCCGCTGTGACACCGGCATTCCAGGAGAGAAATCAGGGCTGAAACACCCAAAGCCGCTCCAAGCTTTGCTTTCCATGAATCAAGTAAACCTTTTTAAAAGTTAAAATTGTCATAAAAATGTAAAATTCCTTCAGTCCATTTTAATAACTTTCGATCCTAATTCATTACGCTAACTAATTTTGGTTTCAATTTGGAGAACCCGCGAAACAGACCATATGGCAAGGGGAAAAATTTGCATAACACGTCACGCAATAAGTCAAGCTGGGTTTGTCCAGTTGATTTTGATCGTCGCAGGGAAATGTCGAGTTTGTCGCTCAAAACCATTGTGGTCCATAATGTAATGATGGAAGCAAATCTGCGGAAAGGTGGGTTAGTTCATCGGGTTCCGTGTACAAAATCTCGGGAGAAACTGCAAGAATTATTTCAGAGTGCATGCGTGTTGTTTTGTAAATATAGACACTGTAACCTATTTTAACTTGTTTCTGTGTCCTTTTGAGCAACGCAATATGTCTGTTATGACGGAAACAAATTTGCAGAAAGGAGGGCTAGTTCATCGGGTTCCGTGTACAAAATCTCGTGAGAAGCTGCAAGAATTGTTTCAGAGTGTTTTGTAAATGGAAACACTGTAACCCATTTTAACTTGTTTTTGTGTCCTTTTGAGAAACGCGATATGTTTGTTATGACCAAAGTGCCAAATTTTATTCTTTAATTTTGATCTTCTCCACACTGTGCGTAGTTCATGACCTGATGTTTCGACGTAAATTATCGATAAGGCGCCTTCCTATCACCTTTGTCTAATTTGTAACTCACGCAAGCGCGCAAGCGTTACGACCGATCACGTTTACGCAACGTTTACGCAACGTTTTAGGACAACTCGGCATCTATTCTCACTTCAGTTGCTATGAAAACCTAAAATCCTCAACGTAGAAGATAAACGAACGAAGTTTGAACGGTTAAAAGGAGATCTTGGCCAATTTTCAGAATCATGCAAATAATCTTTGACACGAGCGCGATTGAGCAAACACATGGATTTGCGTTGTTTTTAAGATGTTGGTGGATGGAAGCTAGAGATATACCCGCGGGTTTGAGACAATCCGTGACCTTATTGGTGTATACACTATGCACTGATATGCTTTTTCAGCCCGATTAACGCCTGCATTTTGAGAATTGTTTCGTACAAAGTAGTGAATTTTTGATATTCAACTTAAGGTCGAAGAGAAGGGTCTCCTCTGATCACGCTGGTATGAAAAATATTTCAGCTGAAGTTTCCATATTTTGTCTGTGAACTAACCGAGTGCATCTTGTAACTTGTAGGAAAATAGAATTTCGTGAGCTACATTGTTGCAGTCGCTGCGCGCTGGACAAAATCTTTGAAATTTAAACTTTCGATTGCTATCCACACGGCTGGTCTGGCCAAAAATCATTTTTGGCTCGTGGCGACGCAAAAAAAGAGAATTGGAGAACAACTAAACTATTTTTGAAACATGTTTGCTAAATCCTTCTCTTGGGCAGAAAATAAAAGAAAACTTTTTTCCGACAGGAAGTCGAGAGGACTGCTCCTAGCGAGAGCGGCACTTAACAGCGGGGATTACAAAGAAAAAAAGATTCGGCTATTTTCAAAGCAAACGTATTGCACTGTTACGGTTGTAAAAAGGTAATGATTATAAAAACCTGCTCCTTAGTCAACGCTTTCTTAAAACTGGAGTAGCAACACAAACCAATGCAACAGCACAAGCGAAAGTGCTAATGTTATGAATTTCCACAGTTACAAATGGTATGCATCATATCGACTTTGGATAAACTGTGTACTACATGTTTCTATCTCATTTATCTGCGCTGGATGACGGACTGATTAACATTTTTATTGACGCGAACTTTCTGAAGAGAAGCACTATAGCTTGGGACATATGATGGTTTTCTCGACCTCCGAAGCTAAAGCAGCAACCTCTTAGCTGCTAAAATATCGCAAGACCACCTAAAAAGCTCTTCTTTTGTTCCACATCTTTTTTCGATGTTTTATCGTAAATTGTGAACTTCATGAGAATATTTTCTTCAAACCTGTCAGAATAATTTCAATACATTAAAATTTATATATAAGAAAGGTGGAGGCATGTTTAATGAGAATTCTTACTAGTCATTCATACGAGTGAGCTTCGCCATAAACACGTCCTGGAAGTGTGTTTTAAAAAACCGCATGCTTTGCGCCTATTGTATGTGTGCTGATATCATACCAGCAGCATTTCTACAATGAAACTCTAGCGAAATCTCTAATTTATCATTTTAGTATTTCCTCAAGCTCGAAATTCCTTATGTGACTCGCAAAATTTAACTCAGGATTGACGTCACTAGCATCTTTGCACGCAACATCCCCCTCTTTAATCTATCTCTCATAACAGGGGTTTACTTGACAAATTGTACAGGCGCAACGATGCCACTGGCTGCAAATTGAGTGAAATAACCATTCGAAGTCAAAGATTACAACAAGAGTGCTTTGGTGCTCTTGGCATCAAACGCAGGCTCTGTTAATTTACTTCCACATCTGAAATGAGGTCAGACCACAAATGACACAGGAAAGACATGTCACATACAGAAAGTTATTGTTTCTCGAAATTGGAAAGTTCCAGTGAAATAAATCTTTCGTCTTGAATTCCTAGCATTCATTATCGCTTTAGGCGTAATAAGTACTAAAAATAAATGCCACAATTTTGCTAACGCAAGAACAAGAATTAATCAATTTGATACCATTGTCTTCTTTGTCAGTTCAGTTCCTCATTTGAAAGTATGGAAGACTTTTTAGTCTCATAAAACTCTAACGCGCTACAGTCTCTAAACTTCTCTACTCAGTACGCAAGTGATTTTGCCGAAGCGCAAACAATCGATTCATACGCGGTTCATAATCATGGGAATGCGCTCGACCGTTTCAATTGTAAGAGCGCTTAAAATGATTAGATTTTTACATAATGATTAGATCCACGTTGGTCCAGAATGATTTTCAGAGTTTTGTTTTTTCTTTCTTTTTGTAATACTTTGTAGACTTCACTGATACTTGCACTATGATGGAGAAATACTACTGAATACAATAAGTGAGTTACGATGTACTTCAATTTGTGGTAATACAAGAGACAAGCCTCCAGTTACCTAAGCATTCTAAGTAGAAAAAAGGCTGTCTATGAGCCCTGATTGCAATTTTAATCTTGATGGACTGGCCTTTGAGGGGTAATAAACAATATCACCGTGTGTTAGAGAAATGACTTGCCGTTCAAAAGTAAGAACAAACATGTTAATGTGCGGTGTTTTGGTACAAAATGTAGACTCAGTTGCAGAGGTTGGATTGTTTCTGTTTCTACTATCTTAAACACAGTCCTGTTTTGACTGTACGGATATGAAAATCATATGTGAACAAAAAAAAAATTTCCGATAACTTCTGTTCTAAATTTTAAAATTTCAATTAAAATTTCCTGTTTGAAGTAAGCGTCCAAAATTGAGAGGTGCTTACATATTGTGTTTGTGTTTATGAGGGGCTTATAGTTACCTTGCAGCTCGCAGCAATCCCCGGAAAACCCTGCTCTACAGGAACATACTCCCTCAATAAGACTTCCTCCATTAAAACAGCCGGTCTGTTGGCAGGATCGTGTCTTTATCAGGGAAGATGAGCAGGTACCGCCACATTGTTCGATAGTTATTCGGTGACGGACGCTGGACTGTGTACCTAATACGCCACAAACAGTTGTACAACCGCTCCATTCTGACCAGTGGCTAAGTTTGCAGTCAACTGCTTTACTACCAGAGCACTGCCGAGTTTCGGAAAGGTTGTCAGGGCATTCTGTTCCACCACATGATGGCTCTGATACAACCGTTCTTGATCGACTTTGAGAGCCTTGCTGTCCACATTGGTCTGTACTGCAATAACTCCAGTATGACCATAAAGTGATATCACAGTTTTTCACTGGACATGGCGGGGGAGCACGACGACGACGGCGTCTTCGCCAAGCGTCACAGTCAGAAGTTAAACAGAATAACATCAGCAGTATTAAAACAGTGAAAGTCTTAGCCGAAAACATCTTTGGTATACCTCATGGAACTACCTTTGTTTTGTTCAAAACAAACTAAGCTCTATGTAAGGAAATAGACGTGCCCAAACGTGTAGTGAACTGGACTTCGAACTTTGCTTGCGAAAGATCACGAGGAAGTCAGACCACAACTGTCTGAAGAATTCCTACTTAAAACAATACATTTGAAAAAATTAAATGTACACCAACTGGAAGGGGTGAAAAGAAAAGTGTCTGTATCATTGTTTATCCCTTCAAAACTTACGTTGTGAGTATGATATATTCAACTAATGACTTGACTGTTTTTTAAGCATTCAATACTTAACCTCGCGCTTAGTGTTTTTTTTTTTCTTAAAGAAGAGCCTTTTCACTTCAGTTGTACTATTCATGTTATAATCTCTCGGCTAAGCGAACATTTTGCCATGATCTTCTCGACTGAATCTCTCGGCGAATGATTGATATCTATAGTTATTTATCATTGACATCAGTCCAATACAAGAAGTGACTCAAAGGAAGTTGTACTTCAAGCTGCTCTTCTTTACAAGCTGGCTGGTTTTCGCAAAGGGTTTATTTCCCTTTTCATCAGTCGCTGATAGTGCTAGCCTCTCCCTTGATGAACCAGTCTCATTACTGGTGACTGCTCACTCTGTTGCAACAAAATTGTAAAATAAATTTGTGTCCATTTTTACAGAGAAAGTGGATAAGGTTCTAAAGAAACTGTGGTGCTTCGTCGGTGGGACAGTATAACAGGGTAATTTAGTGTTATCAACTGAGTTGATAGCGCAAATTGGCCACCGTAAAGAGTTTAAAAGCTGAAGTTTCGAGCGTTAGCCTTTCGTCAGAGCGATTGGCGAAAGATAATTCAGTTATTGTGGGTATGCATAGATTCGTAACGACCGCGTATATCATTTAATTATAGTACAATCAGATCGTAATGAAAATTCATTAGTTCTAATCGATGGATTGCATAAGTTCTAAAAACCCACAAGAACGAGATTAATGTCATATTCAGCATAAAAATTTCCTCTGAAGTAGAAAATGTGAACACAGGTCATTTCTTTCCAGCAGAAAACAAACCGGCTCCACAGAGCAGGGCTCGGAAAATGCAGAATATCGAGGAAAGAGTGTGTCGGCACCAGCGCCATTTTGATTCTCACAGCCTTCATGTTTGACGCGAATAACGATATCGGAAGGATTCCCTGGATGCGTTCTTGTAGCAGGTCTCAACAGTCTGTGAAGCATGTAAATCACGAAGCACAAGAACAAAAATCCACCCTTGCAACCTCCCCCGATCCCTCCGCTTAAATGTATCATAGAAATTAGATTCCTGAAAGTTGTTTTCTCTGCTCACTTCTGACGCTCCAATCTACATCAGGGAGAATGAAATTATATTTATTGTTTCATCATATACATAAGAACCATGTATAGTGTTTCATTTAACTAGTCATTTGCAAAGGCTCGCTTAAAGAGTAATTTCTCCACAAATATCTATCACGTATTCAGGGATGAATAACTTCAAAAAAAAAAAAAAAAAAACTACATCAAAACAACAAGCAAAGTATTTCGAGTATTTCTTTAACGCTGTATCGTTTAGTCGTTGTGAATTACCTGTAGTCTTCAGAGTTTCATTTGTTTCCTCTACTTTCGAATCTCGTAACGGTTTGATGCGATGCACCACTGCATGTATGCTCTTCCATTTGCGAATATTTTAGGGATGTTTCAGCTTTTAAGAAACGATATTTTGCCCTGCTGGAATTAAAAAAAAAGGTTAATTGTCTTTCATGGAAAGAGAGTTGTGCGATAAAATCTATTGGCGAGACATATATAATGCGATTCAGTAGACAGTAACTCGCGCGGTTTGGTTAAGTTAAGAAAATACTGTTCGGTATAATGCCAATAACCGAAAGGAAAACATTAAAACTGCGATCTTTTGGGTCCACTTAGAATGGTCTAAAGAATTTTGACGCAATATACGCATGTATACAACGTAGCTGTAGAATTTCGTTACAGTTCGTTTTTGTTTCTGTGTTTGCGGTGCAATTAGTTTTTTTCTAGAATTGTTCATAATGGCTCTAGAGGGTGTGCCATGTTCAGAAGTTGCTAGCAGTTTCATCACAATAATCGTAGTGCGGTTCGTCTCTTTTTCTCATTACATTCTCAAGCAAGCTTGGAGAGGAAGCCGCCGTTGAACAGTTACACTGAGAAAATCATTATTTTTCCCTGCCTTTTTCTAATTCATTTACGTGACAAAAAAATCGTGTTAAGTAATTGAAGTTGAACTCAGTCAGTAATTACAATCATTAAAATCTTAAATATCATTGAAATGACCATAACAGTACGTTTTTTCCCGTTGGCTACTAATTAATGAATTGCCTATTAGTCATGTTGCCCTTTTGAACACCGTCGTGACAGATGCGAGTCCATGCCAGTTCGCAAGAAATATAATTTGTAAATCTTATATAGGGTTTATATATATGGTAGTTTTTTTTTTCCCAACCTTTCTTATGTTTTTCAGTTATCCCCTTCACGAAGGTAATTTTATGTGCACATTCTAAAACATCAGGACCAAAACATATCTAACATAGGTCTCTTGACGTATCATACTCGTGCGGAACGAAACTTTTCCAGATTTTACTGAGCTCACGGTAACCATAATCGTTAACCGATCTCTTTTGTTATGTCACTCGTCCCTCTGAAATAACTGAGCGGAGCGGAAAAAATGTTTTCGTGAGCTAATGAATAGTTAGAACATACGTTTGCAATGTTTGCCGTTTGGTGACCTGATTGATTTCCAAATGTATTTTGTTGTCGTCATTTCTTATTTCCTCGTATGTGAAGCCAGGGAATCACGTCAAAATCATACTTAAGTAAACCTATTCAACGAAGCTTATCTTTCATTACAGCTCGTTCCATTTGATTAATTTTATGACATATTTTTTCATCTTATTCAAGACCTAATTTTTCGGAGTAATTTCAATAGAGTTGACTAGTTTTATCTTTACTTCAGCCATATCAATAGATTATAGATAGGACACACGCAATAAATGCCTTTCAGTTCAAGCTCTTAACTGTTATTATGAACTGTCTCCAACACACAGTTGTTGAAGACAAAAGTTGATATGGATACATATAACTGGCATTGTTTACTATTTCTAGGAACCTGCAGAGGCCGGCGTCTTGTTACGGCGAGTTAACCCTTTAACTCCTAGGAGTGATTAACGTATAACTTCTCCCCCATAATGTTCATACATTATCCAGCAAACAGGTAATGAGAGTACTAAAACTTATCAGGTAGAAGTCATCTCGAACTAATACCAAAGTCTTATAACTTATTCACGAGGAAATATGTAGCAGCTATTGGGGAGAATTGACAACCAGATCTCGGGAGTTAAAGGTTAACGTTAAGAAACGTGCGATCGTTTATTCAACCAGCTGTATTTGATTTGAAGTTAGAATCGGAAGTGGGGAGTATTTGCTCCCCCACCCCCACCCCTCTCCTTGCTTTTTACTGTCGCTTACCCGCTTGGTACAGATTTCTTTTTCTCCCCAGCCTTCTGCTGCCATTAAAATCAAAGCTGGCGGTCATAATTTTTGCTGAAAAAATACCGAGCGTTCGCTCCCCAAAATCGCACCTGCTCTGTAGGCTATCTCAGAAAAATCATTTCTATTTCTCCTTTTGACAGAAGTTTCATACAACTATAATTATAACTTGAAATGTTCGTGCCAGAATTTTAGGTGGTCTGTCTGGATATCAAAACTGTTTTCCTTTGCCTTTAAATAAACGAAGTTTAAATCACCGCTAAGTCTCCTTCAATTAATATTCAAGTACCTGTGCTCAGGAAACTACTACCTTACTGTCGAGTTCTCTAGTTTTCACTATTATTCTAAAATTTGATAGAAGGATTTACAGGTTGCTCTCTTTCACTACTTCACCTACTTATTGACTGGTTTTTTTTGACTGGTCAAATCATACTGAACATTGAGTTAGTTTGGGGGATGAAAATTAGCAAAGACTTTAGAGAAAAGATTCTAAAAAGTTTAAAACTTACAGTCAAATACATTTCTAGTCAAATACATCTCCAAGTTTATGATTCTACATGTATGTCTCACAGTCATCTAATTACCGCCAAGTTTCGCTTATGAATCAAGTGAACATTCAAGAAACACGCCCGAAAGCTATTCGATTATCTAAATGAGGCTTTTCTAAATATGAATAAAGGAGTTTAGTTTCTAAAGAAACTTTTGTGTTGCGTCGGTTGAGGTATTATAACATAATTTGGTTTTATTAACTGATTTTATTGTGTAAATTGACCATCGAAGAGAGTTTTTTAAGGCGATTATTCGAGCGTTAGCCCATCGCTATGACGACCAAATTATCTTTTCCAACAATAACTAGATAAAAAAATTCAAAATTATGGCGACTTCCACTAAACTTTGACTCTACGACAAATCAACGAAAACCAGACCACGTCAAGGGTACCATTTATTAATTTTTCAGACCCAGTATTGGCTATTACGCATTGCGCGTCTCTGTTTTTGTCATGGTATTCACGAGAGTGAGGCTTGCATTGTTTCGCCGTAGCTTGTGGAATAATCAACTTTGAACTAGTTGCCACCGATAGCCAACGCCGCGTGCAATGTATACTGGTCAAAAATGGGCCTTTAACACAGGCATTAACGATATGAAAAACGACAATACGTAAACATGTTGGCCTTTTCCCATCAATGTGATTTCAATTGCAAATTGCCATGTTTCGCTTAAATGGAGTCGAACCAGTCAAGATTTTACAATAAGGTGTTCTATGTGTATCTCCTAGATGAAATCGCTCTCTTGATCCAATTTCTGTATGATTTCGGAAGCATGATCGCGGTGGAAATTACAATTGTGGTGATACTAGTTACCACGCTCGCCTTCGCACCATCTTGTGACGTCCAGTCTCGAAGGCGCCGTGGATCATGCACTCCACGAAATTGCCAGGTCAGCCATTGGTCTTCATAGAATCCGTGCAGTGTAAACCAGTGTGGTCAACAAGGGTCTCAGAGTCGATCAAGAACGGTGGTCTCATCACTAGGTTGTGAAGGAGACCAGTGTCCTAATCTATACGAGACACAGCAATGTAATGGCATTAAGCCGATTAACTGTCAAGTGAGTCTTTGTTCTCTTTGGAGTGGGTGCGGTGCTGAGAAATGTGGGCAACAAGGGACTGAGAATCGATATTGAAAATTTTTTATTGCTTGTCTCATAGACTTTGGATTGCTATTGTAAGGAGATGGTCTGTCTTGAACTCTTATAGGAGTTAAAGGCTAGTGGAAAAAGTTTGTCTATTTCAATGCATTGTATTCGCAACACGCACACAATAATTATGCGCTGGTAACTTATACTCGGCGATATACGATCAGTGTTAGAAGATTAATGTCTCTTCACATGTTCGTTTTCAATGTTGTTTTTTTTAATCAGCGCTTTGTAGGGTTATCCTGGACTCCAAAGCAATGCTACTTTGTCAGGGACCAGGTATGAGCAAAACTGATGTCTACTGCAGCTCAGATCAACGAAAACTTCAGGCATTATGCAGCTTATTAATATCGATGAAAATGTAATATTAAAATGGAGGTTAATTTTCTTGCCAACTTTAAAATGTCAGAGTAGGGAACTCAGAGGTAGAGTGACGGTAGGGGAAGAAAATTGTGACAAAACTGCACGATGCACTTCAAGTGTTGGATAAGCTCGGAACGAACAGAAGAAGCCGGACCTTGCTCAGAAAGCGTGAAAGAGGGCTGACGTACCAAAATGGGTAATTTTTTCGTGGATTACCATCAATGCCACAATAGAGCAATGTTGATACAACACTCCCTCAACCCTTTTTATCAGCATTCATTGATCAATAGGAAAGAGATACATACTCTTTATGTGAATTATTGAATCAAGGGAGCGGACCAGTTACTTTTGCTTTGCTCGTTCAACAGATCTTGGACCAGGTCATAAGAAGTTCCTTTCATCTGTACCATCTGCTTGACATGTTGACGATGGTAAACAAAAAAATGAAGGATAAACAGAGTGAACAACCAAGCATTAAAATGCCATATCGGAACCACACACTCAGAGCAAGAGTGTATTTAGGTAAGAAAATTAATGAAGTAATGCGCCGATCAATTTGAAGCATCAACCCCTTCCCCCCCCTCCCCCCCCGGACTGGCTGAAGTTTTGAAGACTTCAAGGACTAACGTCATCATTAGAGTCTGTCAGTGGAGTGTCATAGGTCTCGTTCTTGGAGACTGCTGGTCAGTTTGAATGTTAAAGGTTTTCAAACCGAGAAATGCATACTGCATAATGTATTGATCCTGGTGACGATACGGGAAGAACACAAGTTTTAGATGAGCTTCCTCCCCAACTAACATGCCTTGGATATTGGTAAGCCTCTAGGGGGGGATTCTCGTTCTCTCTATAGTGAAATAAACGCAGCAGCTAAAGCTACACGCAATGACCGTACGATATTACTTTTCGTCCTGGAAAATTGGAACAAGTGGTCGCTGGTGAGAACAGGAGACACTTAGTAACTAGATCTGTGTTTTTCAGGTTTTGCCGTGCATCAAACATATTCCTTTTAAAATTGATTGGGATACTAAAATAATTTAAGTGGATATGCAATTCTGCCTAAAAATGGATGCTTTTTTTTTTCTTTAGGTTCAACAGCGCCTTTAGCCCCTATCTTTTAGGTTTAGTTTAACAACAGCAGAAACAGAGAACAGCGCCTTTAGCCCCTATCACTCCAGGTATGACTGTTTGGAAAGAAAGAAAGTTTGGGAGTCATGCTATTACATTTGACAAGGTCTTACTATCATTTTTGTTTCATTCAAAAGAAAAGGTTGGAGGTAAATGTGGGTGAAAAGTGAAATTTACCATTCAATACTGTCTTAATGAAAACACCGTTCCCTCATTTTTGGTGATCGCCAAGCCTGCCACCGTCATTTTGGATCTCCGCCTGGGTACCGGTAGATTTAAGTCACGTGCTAGGCAACGTATAATCAATAACAAGATAGAATTTCATTTCAGGCCTATTTATCAATTTTTTGGTGTGTAACTTTCGCATTTTAGTACGTTGTATGTATGTTGAATCTTCAAATTGTCTTGAAACCTAAGAGAAAATTGTTCTTTAAAAATTCACTGAGAATCGGTAGCTAAAATTGTTTGTTTAGGTGTTATTTAATTTTCGTGTTAACTTGTTATTTCGTCAGTCGCCGGCATCTTTTGTTGCTTCACACAGGAAAAACACACGCGACGAAACGTAATGATCGATTTTGTCCGCAATCTCACGCCATAACAGAAAAAGCTTTTGAACATCTGTAAACTCCGAGCGCTTCGCAGTAAGTGATATTTTCAATGAATCTTCGGATTGTTTTCAAGTTCAAGGATTGTAAATTACAATTTTATGAAAAACAAAGGTTGTTCTGTTATTTCAATGTGAATCCTTGCATGCCTGCCAGTCGCTGGCGCCGCTTGTTGAAACTAAAACGAAAAAAAAAACACCCTTTTAAGATTATCATTGGCTTCTTTTTCACCCCACCACTATTTTAGCAACAAAGGTCGCCATTTCGTCTGTTTATTGCTCGCCAAAAACTATCAAATGCACTCAAAAGCCTAAAATCGAAAAAAAGTTTACAGGAATCGACCAATCGAGCGAGCGAGCGAATGCCATTCCCCACATCGTATCTATAACTCGCTCTTGCGCATGCGCGCAATTCACGAGTTAAAAAGTGAATTTTCCATAGGATTCAAGTAATCGCGTACTTGTATTTTCAATGTGCTACATTTGAAGTCGACAGCTTCTACGAGGAAAAACAATTTAAATCGTGTTGAACAAAACAGCCCTAAAACATGTGTAAGCTTTGGTGTGAATGGTGTATATGTCATTAGTTAACTATCCACTGGATCGTAAATACGTATTAAATACTATATGCCATTTCGCCTTTTGAAAATTATAATGGTTAAGATTAAAAAAACAAAAGGGGCCCTGAACCCTCAGGGTGATTGGCTCCTAATTTTTCCTAACAGAATATTAATCATCCTTAAATCAAAAATTAAGATCACGAGAAAAAGGAAATGATCACCAATTTAGGAAGCTCCTGATTGTCAAACAGATTATTCTTGCCAGTACCAGAGGAAATGAGAAGAGAACAGTGTGCAGAATATGAATACCAATGTGAGAGTGTAAAGGGTTAAAAACCACTCATATCGAGCATTTGTTATTGATACAATTGATTAATGAAATTTCTTTGATTGGCTTTTAAACTGAAACTTCAATTTTTTTAGCTTTGGCCCAGCAAGTGAGCTATGAAATGAACAAGGATCCTCGAGGATTGTGCGTCATCGTGAATAACGTCAACTTCCAGAACAGGGACCTGAACCGACCAGGAGCCGTCGAAGACGAACGTAGCCTCCAACTTCTGTTCAGGACGCTCTTCTTTGAAGTGATTATCCGGAGAGATTTGACGAGCCACGAGTTGGAGAAAGTGGCACAGAAGTTTGGAGCTGCAAATCACAAAGCGTATAACGCGTTTGTGTTCATCGTCATGTCGCATGGAGGAGATCGCGATTGCATCTTGGGCGTCGACGGAAGGGAGACAACCGTCAAGAATTTGATGTGCGAGTTCCGTGAGAACAAGTGTCCTTCACTTAAGCATAAACCCAAGGCGTTCATCATCCAAACTTGCAGAGGATGTCGAGACAACGCTGATAATTCAACTTCCTCACCTGTTAATGATATCAATTTACAACAGAAGGTCGCGACCACGTCACAGGCACAGATAAGCTCCCAGCCATGTGATACTGCATTCGTTACTGACTGCACCCTCCCGCGGAGCGTGTTTCCACCGGAAGCCGACTTTGTCCTGGCCTTTGCCACCGCGCCGGGTTACGTATCATATCGAGATCCGGATAATGGCACCTGGTTTATACAGGTAAGAAATTGCAAAAACTAAAGCAACATGCTTTGTTCGATTTATGTGCTAACAGCGTTAATTGACAATACTTAATTACCCTGTTATGCTCTCACCGACGCAGCTCCACAGTTTTTTTAGAAACTTATCCCCTTTACTAACTAGCCTCCTACTGTCGAGCACCAGCTCCACTTGAAATTTGGCGGTCTTTTATAGAGTTAAGAGTGTTTGAAGTAATCGTAATCTCCTAAGAGAGAAGTATTAGAAAAAAAACTAGAAATGGATAACTCGCTAAAATGGCCTCGTTTCAACAAAGTAGGCGGTCAGACAACAAGCGATGCTCTGTGAAAGTGAGGCGAGGCGTAAATATTCCCATACAAACTCTTATATTTTTGCCTTGACGCTTACCATGCAAGACGATCATCTCAGAGCTGGAGCTTGGGCCGCCTGTGGGCTGACTCGATTAAGGGTCATTTTAAAGGTCATTTCAATTTCCACATAAAGTATCCTTTTGCCAACCTAGCTTGGCCTGCGTTATAATTTTCGTCTCAAGTTTCTAAGTCTTTTGGCTCATTTTGTCCGAAAACGGTTCTTCTGCCTGGATGGTGATGTTCCTCATTTTTTTGTACTTGATTATTGCAATAGGCTTTAGTCGAAGTGATCAGCAAATATCATCATCATCATCACTTCCTTGAGATCTTGACAGAAGTCACTAGACTGGTAGTGGAGCGTGTTAACTCTGTCCAGGTTCCTGCCCCCATGGATACCTTGACTAAATTTCTGTACTTGTGAGAGGGGACTGAGCTGAGCGATTTACTGTTAGCCGTTCCTATGGATACCTTGACTAAATTTCTCTACTTGTGAGAAGGGACTGAGCTGAGCGCTTTACTGTTAACCATGGCTTCGTTTATACTGTTATTATGTTAGAGATTTAGAATGAAACTTATTGAATAGTTCAATGTTTGTGGACACGATTGTTACCCAATGAAAGAAGAAGATCATCCTTTCTTGAATCAAATTAAATCAAATCGAAAATTATAAAATAAATATGAAATTGCTGCTGGCTTTTTTCTTATTGAATTACAAATCAACTTGATTTTAAGACGCTAGATGTCCTTTTCATCTGTTTATAATTTTATTTTTTATTTTAAGTATAGGAATTATTGTAGAGAGTTTACTCTAAACATTTTCATTTTTTTCTTAACTGCTTAGACTTTTAGACCCTAATTATCCATCTTGACCTTACCATCTGAATGGGAGTTTAAGATAAACTCAAAGAGTTGTTAGAAAGTTCGTACAAAATTTTCGAATTGTTACATAAACTACCATTTTATTCTGACAAAAATATTTCATTCTGCAACAGAACGTAGAAAATGATATGTTAAAAGTAAGAGAGCAGTTACTTCCACTCTAAAAGAACAGAAGTTGATTAAAACACACTTGAAACATGTCTGCTTGATAGCAAGCGAAAAACAAATCCTGTATGAAAAAAAAATAGAAATAGTAAACCTCAAAACACTAAAAGCAAACCTTAAGAAGTGTAATTGAATAAGTGTAAATATTGTAAAGTTTGCATACTGTTGAATTTAATGTGTATAGTTTGGTCAGAGAGGGAAATAAAATGATATCAAATGTTGGTTGTGTATCAAATATTTTCATCCTGTAACTGCCATTAAATAGCCGATTTTGCTCAAAGAGAGATTAGTAAGATACTCTGGGAATCCTTACCCATGATGTAAATGACCCGACGCATCTCATTATTTCAGATTTTAAATATTTACACAGAACGACATTATCGTGCAGATTGATCTCTGGAATCTGACTGAGCCTGTGAAGTCTCAGCTTTAGCTTAGTGATCTTCCAGATACAAATAAAGAATAGCTTGTTGAAAGATATGTTAGAAGGATCGTGACATAACTTAGAACGCTTTTGAGAAAGGAAATTTCTTCAAGTGCTCGAACAGGTAATTTTAGCTCCGCTTTGAAACATTGCTGTTTGAAAAGTGCTGTAGTTGACCCTTTCCAGAAAACTTGAAAGGAAACACTTTGTGATCATGAGCTATTTAATCAAATTAAAGAATTTTTCTCTTTAAATATTTTTCTCTTTTGTACTTTATCTTAAAAACATAAAATTCGATGCAAATCTAGCGTGCATGCCTCAGGAATATATCTTGAGGTCTTTTAAAAGCCCACCCAATCTTCAGCCCAAGGTCGTCTTGGCCTCTTGTCAGCGGTTTGGTAGCCAAATAATGACCTTTGGGAGAATGGAATTTTTTTCCCAGAAACCGTGGGATTCCGGCTTTAACTGCGCATGTCTACATTGTTAGTTGTTGCTTCCGGTTGACTTCTGCGCATGCTTAAATTAGAGTACACGGTTCGCTACGCCACCGAAAGAAGAGAAGAACGTAAATTACTGTTGTGTACGTGAACATAAGAATCATCGTAACAAATAGAAAGTGTGATTTATAAACCAGTAGAAAATACCGAGATTTTTTCCATTATGTCCTCCGGTGCTCCTGGAAATGTGGAAGTGAAAGAAAAAGGGATAAGTGATGGCATTTTACGCAGCTTTTACGCTGTTTTCAGTTCTCGCGCGGGGTAAATCGATTGCAAGCTAGTTAGTAGAGATGGACTTTGAGCAAGCAGTTTCATCTTCTTTTAGAGAATTGAGTTCAGAGGAAATGAAAAAGGAACAACGCCAAACTTTAGAGGCGATTGGTTTAGATTTAAGAGAAGTCCTCCTGCCTCTACTCCTGATTCAAAAGCTGCTGATGGAGCAGGTGACTGCACTTGAACCGGGATGACTACAAAACAAAGAAACACAGCAATGTTTTGAAACTCTTATAAAAACACCCATTCCGTCGCCTCTAACATGCGACATACCTTAGACAACTTTCCTAACCTTTCCTTGATATACTTAACAATGAAAAAATGACAAACAAGTTTCTTTTGATACTAATTTAATATTTTCCTGTTTGACATATTATCTTTTGACCTTTTGAAATGTACTTTTTTATTATTTCCATGTGAGAATAAAATTATTTAACAACTATTAAATGTGCTGTGCACTTGTTCCAAAATAACTTTGGGAAGCAAAATTTAAAATTGTTACTTGATGTGTTACATTTTGTAACATTTTGAGACTATTACTTGACCCTGAGTTTACTGAAAACACATGCATATGAATTAAATACCCACATCCCTCCTTAAGATAAAAAGAAAAAGAGAAGCAACGAATATAATTTGAACCTTGAAAACATCACAAGCTTTGAGTTTGCTCTTGCTTCTTTATTTTATATGATTCAGTATGCTGAATCAAGCTAGGGATTAGTTGTTTTTTATGGAGAGAAAAAAATGTGGAGGGTTCACATTTTGCAATTTTTATGCTTGTGATGTTTCAAGGTTAAATTTATATCAGTGATTCACTAAAAAGAAAGACAAATTAAAAATGGTCTTTCCTTTGGTCTGTTACAACTTTTAGCTCAAGTCTTATTTTTTAAATATCGCTGTTATAAGGATAAGGATGATGGTAATGAGTATCTGGAAAAGGTTCAGCTCTCAGCATTGGGTATTCATCACATAACTATATATCACACACACTAGAAGTGCTGGACTTCCATCTTCTTGTACAACAGTACACTCAAAAATCAAGCAAGTCAGGAGCTCAAACTACCATTTCTTTATTAAGCTCCTCCAACTGAAATGGTACTATTCCTTGTTACATGTAAGATATAAAAGCCAGTAGTTCCAGGTTTCTGTACACATAGGCTTCTATATTGTTCATCAAAATCTCCTCTAGAAACTGAAATTTGGTACATGCTTTGACACCACAACTAGGTAACAAAATAATAAGTTTAGCTTTTGCAGCTGGAAGGCTTGTCTACGATACAACCCATAGCATATATACTTCAACCCTTCACGATTCAGTCTTTGCATGTTCTGTCAATTGAATATAAAACAAAATGTAACTCTCTATATATTGATAAATATTTTCATATTGAATGAGTTAAACTCTGTTGAATGTTTTGTGATCATAGTAAATTGGACAAAAATATATTGGCATGGAATTTTGAATGACACACATGTATATTGTAATTGTGAAAAAAAAAAAATGCTTATCACAAACCAGCTGTAAATGTAGCTTCATATAAAACCCTTCATACTTAAGTATCTCAGGATTTCTATGGCCAGCGTTCTCAAGTATTTTAATCCCGGTTGATTGCTTGGTTAAATTAGTGTTACGAAGTATATAGGTGACAGAAATGAAGGATTTAATTTGTCGTAAGATTCATAAATAAATACGAAAGGATTAACTCTGTGTTTCCATCAGAAGTGTTTTCTTGGAGTACTCGAGACGTGGGTATAATGGACTGAAATTTTAAATCGTTTACTTGCGGTAAAGCAGATGGTGAAACTGTGGCCTGAGAAGGGCTTTGGATGGCGACAGACCTCATTTCTGTTTTCTTAAGAGTGGAACCCTTCGCGATTTCCTTACATATTTATGCTTCTCGATTTCTTCTTTGACACTAAATACTATGCTATTCTGATGTCGAACTCTTTTACACTGGTACATTTCTGTAAGCTTGCACAGCCTCTACAATGCCTTCTTTTCTGCTTTTCACTCAAAACAAATTTATATAACGATTTATTTCTACGTACACGTCTTTGAAAACAACGACAGCAATCCATCGTTTCATGAAGAACAGCTTCCCCTCATTGCAGCATGCAGCGGCTTTGGTTGGATGTTTTCTTACAAATTGACAGGCAGTTTACATGTGAAAACTTTCACACACAAGAAAAAAAATTATAGTACATACAAACAACAGTCAAAACAATTCCAGTTTATCGTTGTTAATAGTCTATTTCCGGCCCCATCGATCCCTTCCGTAAATCATACTTCCTGTGTGGAGTTTTACCATCAGTCAATCAAAAAAATTGAATTAATTCCTTCTCCTAGAGGTCATTATTTGGCAACCATACCGCTGACAAAGAGCTAAAATAACCCTAGGCTCGAGATTGAAGCCCGCTTAAGAAAGAGAGGAACCTGGGGAACAGGCTTGCTTGTTTTGGTCTTCGAAGCCGTCATCTTGAAGGCTGTCAGAGCCCAGACAAGAAACATTGAACAGGCGACAAAAAGGTATGTTTAAACAGTTGTGGTAAGATGTTTTTAAAGGCCCATTTCCACCCTTATGCAACGCGCGCCGCGACCCAATTTCCTGTAACACGAAATTCCCAGATCATTGAAAACCTCCTAAAATCGTCTTTCTCAAGAGCCATCCTAGACATATAGTCAACTGTATTACGGTAAATACATTCGCCATTCGTCATTTTACAGTTTCCTTACAGTATTTTGAAATTTGGCCGGAAGAATCCGAAGAAAATTTTTTTTTTAAGTGTCACGCTTGGATCTCTTCTTACTCTGTGAACAGAGTCGGCGAAAAGGACAACGTTCAAATTTTTTCACTTTCTAGGAGCGCTTGAGGATTCTAAATGAAGATAAAATATATCCAGTAGAAATTGTTATTTTTCAAAGAGAAATATGGAAAAATGTCAGACTGCCGGACGTTTAGTTATTCGAAGACCGTGTCCGGTAGTGTCCGGTGAAAATTTTCTTAGTGTCACGCTTGGATCTCTTCGCGCTCTGTGTACGAGGTCAGCGAAACGGACAACGTTGGAATTTTTTCACTTTCTAGAAGTGCTTGAGGATTGTAAATGAAGGTAGAATATTTTCCAGCGAAAAATTAGTATAGTTTTTATGGAACGTTGAAAACCTCGAAACGGAGAACTCGCTAAAATGCGTTCTTTTCGTCAAAGTAAGCGGTCAGATAACAAGCAATACACAGTGGAAGTAAGGCGAAGTATTTTTTTTGAGAATTCGACGTATTTTTTTATTCCTAATAGCGGTCGTAAATATTCCCATACAAACCCTTATTATTCCGCCATGACTGTTATTGCGCAAAATGATCATCTCACAGCTGGAGCTTGGGCCGCCTGTGCTGACTCTTGGTCCTATTTAGCAAGGATGGAAAACTTCGATTTAAACAAAATTGATGAATGAATGAAAACGTGGTGGGTCAACATTTTCACTTTCTTCGAAATGCTCGCAAGGATTTTCGTGTTCCTCTTTAGCAACAACCGATCCATAAGCGTTTACTGCCTCGGATTCTACGAAATCAATGGATTCATCCAATTCCATGCCGGATTAAAACGTAAAGAACTGTTTTAAACAGAATTATTTTGACAAGCTCTTCAAATTCATCGGAGAAAACGCAGAAGGCATTTCGAGACAACGTGACAAGATAAAAATAACTGACCAATCAGAGGCGCTATTTAAACAAAAGCGGTGGTTCAAAACAAAAACAAACGACCGCGTTGCATCAAGGTTGGAAATGGGCCTTTAAATGATATAGGACTTTTCGTGGTAAATTAAAATATTACCATAAGCGGTTTCTAATGTTTATTCTCAAACGTGTTTTAGAAAAACAGAAGCAACAGTCCGCAAACTATTAAATTTGTTGTACTTTGGCCAGTTCTGATTCACCGAGCTTATGGGCCTTAATTTTTCCAACTGGAGAAGTCAATAAATATAGATATTACTCATGATTACCTAGCGAGCAGTGAAAACGAACCATGTGGC